AGTCATAATTTTCCAACTTAAAAAGTTACAGGCTGACTTCAGGTCTGGTTTAGATCATTATTTATAAATTATATATTTTTGGTGAATATTTGCTCTTTTACATGGTTGTTGAATGTAATTAACATAGTTATTAATTTACTGTAAAAATATTACAGATATTTTGTGACACAGATCCAGTTCAGCTTGCTGTTAATCTAATAGTTGCCATAATGACTGTGAGCTGATGCCCTGTTTGGTTGCTGTTTTCCTGTGGTTTTCCCTCCATTCACACATGCTAACAGTCTGGAGCGTGCTGCAGCGCCACCTGGTGGATTCTAGAGGAAATGCACWTCCAATTACAGTTAAAGGATTATTWACATGGTGTCAGGGAACTCCTCCAAGGATGATGAATGGAGTCAGGACAGCTTACATGAYGTGAAAACTGTAAACTGTTTTACATCAGTCAGCAACATGACAGCATCTTTTAACACCTTCATGATCTCCTCCAGACGTCTGATCCATCCTGCTGCCATCTACAAGATCCAGTTCACTCATCCTGGCAGATGTTTACGTGTCAAAGTCCTGCTTACAGTAAAGACRACACAGGTAAAGAAGTCAAAAACACAGCCGAATATAAGACTTTAATCTCTAATAAACGATCCTCAAAACATTAGTTTTTTTCATCATCGTCGTATGTTGACTAAAAACGTCGATTTTATTCTCCAGTTGTGAGGATTTGTGCAACAAAACAAGTGATTCCAACAAACACAGACGTAACCTTCCTGGCTGTAAACGACACAGCACATCCTGTCGAGTTCTTCTGGGACTTTGGAGACTCCGGATCAGCCAGAACCTCTTCCAGGACCATCGCTAAAAGATACCAGAACCCTGGGAGGTATGAGGCCGCCGTAACATATTCCAAACACACCGTTTGTTTCTTTTAATCCTAATTTTACATTAACAACCTTGGACCTGACACCACATACAGTATGTGGGAAAAAGTGCATGCAATGCAAGAGTTTTGAGATTTAGGAGGTTAAAGAACTGCAAATAATCACAGTCGGGGTCATTTAACGTGAGGTTTTGTGGAAAAGTTGAAGATTGAATCATTTTAGCATTATAAGGTTCTTATTTGTGTTTAATGAATTGTATTTTTGTATTTGGCCTGCAGCCCTCGGATGTATTTTCATTTTGGGGAAAAAGTTTTGGGTCTTGGTATTTGCATATAAACTTAAACAGCTAGACTAGTGCATCCTAAATTTAACATAAATGAATTATTTTAATACATAATAGTCATTTCTCCATTTTTTGGAGAAATTCATCTTATAATAAATGCCATTGCGTAAAATGTAACTGCTCATTTTAAATCAATACTTTTACTTCTAATWCCTAAGTACAGGAGACTTTAACTTTTACCAAAGTATTGTTTTGGTAAGATAYTTGTCCTTTACTCAAGTATCACYTTGTGGTACTTTATACCACATTGGTCAGAATTAATCTATTTCTCAAAACCTGGATCTAACTAGGAGCTATCTACAACAGGTAATATATTAACTGTTTATAGTGTTTCTATAGAACCACACTGTAATAATCATCCCTTTAATTACTTCTTGTCTAAAATCTTTGTTTTAACTCAGTTTAACTTGTCCTGATGTAGTTACGATGTCATTGCCACGGCGTCCTGGAGTCAGACGGTCCTCACCTCCGATGTGTTCCCGGTCCTGGTCCAGACAGCCGTGGAGCTCAACMGGCTGGTCCACCAGGCCTCGGTCCTGACGAACCAGACCTTCACGGTGAGCTGCCGGGTCAACGCGGGGACCGACCTCGCCTTCGCGTGGAGCTTCGGAGATGGACCCAGCAGGTCCGGACAGAGAACCGTCCAGCATGTCTTCAACAGGTGAGTCAGGTTTTACTTCAAGTTTTGTTGTATTTTAATATTTAATCCTAGTTTTTCTGATTTTTAAGTTTTTTTATTTTGCAGAACAGGAGAGTTCACAATCAAAGTGGTCGTGTCTAATCGCATCAGTTCTGCAWCTCTGAGCAGCCTCGTCTTCGTTGTGGACCGGCCCTGTCAGCCTCCACCTGTCAAAAACATGGGTCCAGTCAGGCTACAGGTACGGACAGAACCTTAAAGTGCCTGTGACATCACATTTTTGTAATAAACATGAATGTATTTTTGGAAAGATAATATCAATAACATACTGCAAAACAAATTTCACATCACTCAGATGAACGCTTGTTGAGATATTTGCATGTGAAGAAACAGGAAGTGATGTCAGAGGAGAATGTTAGCATGTAAACAGAGCGATGTTACAAAAGCTAACAACACAGACTGTAGAGAAAAATCTGATGTTTCTTTAGATTATTTTTAGTCGCTATCAAAGATAAACGAAGAAGAATTAAAGTTTAAATAATTTTGTTTTAATAAATAGAAACCAACGAGTTTATTTTCTTAAAGATTTACCCTTTGATGTCACTTCCTGTTTCACTCTGGCTGGAGCATCATCCTCATCTTAAATATAAAGATGTTTTCTTTGAGGGAATGCACGTCTCTGTGCTCAGGTGTGGAGGTTTGAAGTTGTCCGCCTGGGGGTGACGTTTGAGTCCGAAGTTGAGTGCGACGGATCAGGAGGCCTCCGGTACTCCTGGACCTTATCCGACTCGGCAGGACGGGTCGTCCCGTTGCCTCTCAGAGACAAACACAAACAAACCCTGGTGCTGCGGAGCCGAGTCCTGCAGTACGACACGTACACGGCCACGGCCAGAGTGAGTCCGAAGAGGTTTGATAAAATAATGATTGTTCAGTCAGCTGAGTGTTCTGATTCAAATATGCTGGTCCGGTTGGTGCAGGGGTCTGCAACCTGCGGCTCTGGGGCCACATGTGACTCTTTGGTCCCTCTGTAGTGGCTCTTTGAAAATGTGACCAAACATAAAATAATAAAAAATATATTTTGGCTTTTATACCCACAACAGAAATCAGTTTGTATGCAAATATGTAATCAATACTACYAATACAAAAAGTAAAACATGTTTAGCTCATGTTAGCCCGTGTTTTACTTAAATATTGTATTCCAATTTCTTTCTATGATCTTTCTCTCAAATCCCTCAGAGTTACCTTTAAATAATTTGAAGACTACGTAATAATAAGAATTGGGGGAAAAATATGCCTGAATAATTAGTTTGTATTATTTTTAACGAAATTCGGTATAAACTATATACGGTATTTTTCTTGTTCACATGAATACGGTCTTTTTATTTGTCCTGATGTGTATAATAATAAAAAATATAATAATAACAACAATATTTTTTTAGTTTTATTATGTCACCTCCACTGACCGTAAAAGTTCCCAAAAAGACCTTGAAAAGGGCCGCGGACCACCAGTTGATCATCACATTTGTAACATGTTTTGCGGCTCTGAACACATTTTATCAGTGAGACGAGGAGCAGAAATGGCTCTTTTGATTGTAAAGGTTGCAGACCCCTGGGTTGTCCTCCGCAGGTCCAGATCCTTGGCAGCGTGGTCTACAGTAACTACACCCTCAGGATTCAGGTGCTGCCGAGTCCTCCGGTGGCTTTCATCCAAGGTGGCACCAACGTCTTCATCAACAAGAACAGCACCGAGACGATAACTCTGGATGGACGAGCGTCTCATGATCCAGACTTCCCCCTGAACCCCCTCAGGTAAACCTTGATCCACATCAGAACCAGAGGTGCTTTGAGTGGGTCCAATGGTTCTTTTTCTTTCTTTTTTTTTTTTGTTGTTGTCTAGTTACAGTTGGACGTGTAAACCAGTTTCCACCATCGTCACTTCCTGTTTCAATCGAGACGTCCCCTCTTCGTCCCCCGAGCTGAAATTTCCCGTCGGCCTCTTGAAACCCGACTTTGATCAGTTCCAGTGCAAGCTCACCGTCCACAGCGGGGGGCGTTCATCTTCATCAGAGGTCTTCCTCACCGTCACATCAGATCTGACTCGGTATGAGCTTCAGAGAAATAAACAAAAACATAAACACGAAGTTTAACTCTGACTGATTTTATCAACGTTTTCAGGAAGGTCTCGGTTCACTGTGATCAGTGTCGGGGAGACGCCGTGAACTGGGATCAGACGTTTTCTGTCGCTGCCACGTGTGACGACTGCAGAGAACCCGTTCAGTTCAGCTGGAGTCTGTCCCGGGTCAACGAGTCCTCCAACACGGTCCCAGACGGTAAACGAAGAGAAACTGTGTCAACACTGACTCCTGAATGACTTGACTTATATTTACTGAAGAAGCTGAAACTGAGTTTATAAAACTGTATAAAAAAATATAAAAAATAGCTAAAATGAGCAAAACTGTGGGTAAAAGCTCAATAAAATAAAAAATAAAAAAGCCACCTACTATAAAAGTTAAAAAGAGCAAAACCATACCTGAAAGCTAAACAGTAGCTAAAAACTTAAATTAGCAATCAGTAGTCTACTGTACAATCAGTACATCTACATTCAGCAAAAACCATAGCTAGAAGCTAAAATCAACAAAACAATAGCTCAAAACTAAAATGAGCAAAAGGGTGGGCAAAAGCTCAAATTTGAAATATAACAACAAAAGGCATCTAGAAGTTAAAATGAGCAAAAACATACATGAAAGCTAAAATTAGCTAAACTGTAGCTAAAACATCAAAATAGCAAATAGTAGAAAAAAAGCTAAAATCAGCAAAACAATAACTTAAAGTTTAAAGTATATAAGTATATACATGCATGCTCACAACCGCACACAAACAGGTGTTTAAATCCTGGGTTTTCTGGTTGGACACTGATTGAATGGTATGTGCATATGTGTATGTATATATATATATGTACATTTATATGTACTGTACAGTATATGCATTTTTGTTGCTGTGTTTTTGTGATCTGTTTCTATAGGTGTGCAGCCAAGATGTCAGGTGTGTTGTCTTGGGGTTCTCGATATATATTTCACATATCTTCTAATCTCTCTTTCACTGTCTCATTACATTTCACTTTTTTTCTTCTATTTCTTTTTCTTCTTTAAAAAATATCACTGATGATGAAGAAACTAATAAACTAATATTCAGTTCTGCTTTCTACTGAAGTGGCTAAAAAAAAACCTAAAAGCTTAAAGTAGCAAAACTGTTGCACAAATTAGCAACACAACACAATTTAGGTAATTTTATTCTAAAAACTAAAACTTTTAAAACAGTAGCTCGAAGCTAATATTACCATAGCTGTACAAAGGCTCAAATGTAAAAAAAATGTTTGTTAAAATGAACAAAACTGATGAAAACTAAAATTTACAAACAATAATTTAACGCTAAATTGTAGCTAAACTGTGACTAAAAGCTAAAAATAGAATAATGCAGTGTAAATGCTGAGTGCTGAATAGGTTTGCTAATACTTGCTAAAGAAGCTGAAGCTGACTGGTTAATATTAAAAAGGAGCTAAATTCTAACTATAAGCTAAAAGGAGCAAAACCCTAAATAATAAAGTTTGCAAAATAGCTCAAAGCATCAAAGCTAAAAAAAAAAGTCCAAAGTAGATAAAAAACCACATAAATATCCATAAACATAAAGATAAAACATATTTGCTGAAGACGATATCAAAGAGAACAATAATTTTGAAGGAGATGAACAAATCTTTCTAATTAAATTCAATATTTTGAAAAATATAAAGGTTATAAAAACCAGAAGTCACAGCATGTCCTGAACAAACTGGACCTTTTTAATAAAAAGTTTGCAGATTACACAGAGAAATAATAACAGTGTGAAAACTGAATCAATAATTCTTCTCTTCGGCTGATTTTTGTTACAAATGAGACTTTGAAATATTCGATCAAATCTTAAATCTTTTCTGTTTTAGTCTCGTTTTGTTCCACGGCAGACCTCGGAGCTCCGTCGGCCCTCATGGAGACCCCTGCACCTGACGAGGTTCTGGTCCGTTCTCCTGTTCTGAATGTGTCTGAGTCCAGTCTTACAGTCCAGTCCTCCGATTCTTCTGGGTTTCTGGAGGAACTTTCTGTCAGCAAGTCTGAGAAGCAGAATGATGATTTTAGTAAGTTATGAGACGTTTCAGGTAAAAATATTAAACCTTTTATGAGATAAAGTATCATCTTGTCACATTATTGTTTCCTCAGATGGGTCAGACTCTGAGCCCGACACTGGACCCAGACCTCATTCAGCTCCCTCAGGTCTGAATGATACAATCAGTAATTTGACCTTTGACCCCGACTCCTCCGCTGACTGGGAGGAATCATTCCCATCTCTGGAGAGCAGTGATGGAGATTTACATCAAAGTGAGTAAAACAAGCTGAAAAGCTTTTATTTTTCCTTTGGGCTGAGAGTTACACCAAAAAAAAAGTAAATAKAATAAAAAGGTTGTCTTTAGAAATTAAAAAACATTATTTTTTGCTCAGGATTTCATATTTTTCTCATTTAAAGTGTTCATGAGCTTCAGTTCTGTTATTCTGACCCTGATATGAAGGAACAATAATGAGATATTTGGTCAACTGTAGCATGATCAGCTGCACCGATCAAAATGAAATTTGGCAGGACTGTAGATGAGTCTGACCTACACTGCGCCAGCCAACGGTTTTATGATAGACCCCATATTTGAGGAGGGGGCTCCATCTGAAAAGGGGGTGTCTGGACACATAAAAATGCTTTTAATTTAAAAACTGTTCAACACTGAAGCTTCAGATTGATTTTGTTGTTTAGCTCTGATGAAGGGCTATCCATCAGGCCCACCAGTGAGCCCCCCCACCCAAAACAATGAATCTGTTCTGGTGACTTCTGAGTTGCATTGATGCTTTRGGTGCGGGGGTCATATATGCTACCACTGTGCATTATCTAGTTTAGTTACAAGCAAAATAACTCCGTTTTGCACTATTAAAACGGATTTTTAGGTAAAAGATATGGCTGCTAATTTTAATGTAAATGTGGCAGCACGTAAATGGGTTTATTACATTAAAGTGTTTTTTTATGTTTGAAGTTTTTTTAGTCTATAAAAGCTGCAGAAAATGAGCACAAATGTCATATTTATATATTTTTCCAAACATTTGATTAAATTCACTGGCTTGGTTTATCTGCACAGTTTAACAG